TGGTGCTAACTGGCATCATATCTTTTTTCGATCATGCCGCAAATCCTCTGAGTAATGCCCTCCACTTTCCTGTGGTCACATACTCGCCTTCCCACCACAGCAGCGATTGTAGGTTGTGAAGGCGACAGACTTCCTCCCTGCAAAAAGGCTGCATGCAAGTTATGAAGGTGGTATCTTAGCGAACTCGTAGAGCTGTTGTACTTAATCGTAGTACCGCAAAGTTAACATTGGGCGTCTTTGTCATCATTAATTAATTTGAAATACTCCCACACTCCACTCTGTTTTGATCGCCTCATGTTTGGTTTCTTTTTTGCCGCCCGTGAGAATCTCATGTCGCGTTCGCAATGTTCAATTAGCCGACAATTAAACCCCCCTGGAGCCCCGGGGCGTCGGGGGTGCCGTGGAGTTGGTGTTCGCCTTGCCTGGTCTGGGGTGGATTGGGGGATCGTGGCTCCCCTGGCCTACTGGACCTGGGGGTCTGGGGACTCAGGCTTCTGGCTTTTCCTCATTTCTAGGCGGGTGGTGTGTCCCTGGGCCTGCGGGCCCGTTATCTCCTCTCCTCGCCTGGGCCCTCTTCGGCAGGGGTGGGGCTCCCGCTGCTTCCCCCTGCTGGCTCTCTCACAGTGGGGACATTCGGGAGTCTCTGGGGCACATGGCAGGTGTTGTCAGGGTGGGTTTTAGTGCTCCTCCTTGGGAGTGGTTGACTCCCCCCAGTCCGAGGACGAGACCGGCCTCAGGTTTACGGGGCTCGGGGGCTGCTGGCTCTGCCTGCACTCTGGGGAGGGATGCCTCTGGCTGGGCTGGGGGACTGTTGGCCTGGTTCTCCCGCGTTATCGCTCCCTGGCGGCGGGGAGCTTCCCGGCATGGCTTTCTGCTGTTCCTCCTCAGGGCGGCGCACAGCTTCCCCCAGGACATGTGGTCTGGGGTCCTTTGCGCTTTGGGGGGTCGCGGGGTGCCCTGGCTACTAGGGGTGGGGGTCTCTGGGCGTGGGGGTCTCTGGATTGATCCGGTTGCGGTTTGGAGGGCTGCGGTGGGATTATGGGGCGATTGTCGATGCATCTTGATGCATTGTGTTTTTTTTCCCCTTCCCTGTGCAGGGTCTCTGGATGGTTACTGGGCGTTTGGTTTGTGCATTGGAGTCCGGGGGAGGTATTTCCTCATTGGCTTGGAGGGCCCAGTGTGCGTCCCTGGTTTGCTTCGTTAGCCTCAGATCCATGCTTCCCCATTTCTCTGTCGGCCAGTTGTTGGACCCCTCTGGATACTGAAGTATAAAGTTAGCTTTCGGGATATGCAATGTGGGTGCGGGGCAGGGCTGTGCCTCGGTTTATTCTGGGCTTGTGCCTGGAGTTCTCGGCCCTTGACGGGTGGGTGGGTTGGTGGTGGCATGCAGCTGGGCTAGTTGATTTTGCCTCATTGCTGGTTTGGCTGGTGTTGCATGGCAGCCTGGGCGCGTGCAGTGCATGGGGGATGTCGGCTAGCGCGGGCGGCCTTAGTTTTTCTGGCGGTTGGGGGGACGACAGACTTTTATTGGCGGGTGCACAGTGACCTAGGCGACGCGTTTGCTGCTGGGCTGCGACTTGCTGCTGGTGTTTCTCTCCACTGACTTTCGCTGTCGTGTTCTGCCGCTCGCTTTCTCTCGTTTGTCCGGCCTCATTCGCGTGCTCGCGCAGTGCAGATTTTCCTTCACTAAATGCCTTACTCAGCAATGGCCACATCTTCAGCCTGGCCTCCTTGACAGTTTGAGGGAGATCTTCAACAGAGCGAAGCTTGTTCTCACGCATGACGGGGTGATTTTTTTGCCACTTTCCATTGAGCATTTGTAGGATCTCTGGGAGAATCTGGTGATGATTGCTCTCGGCCTAGAGCTGGCTTGTGTTAGTTTCCCAATGCGATGTTTTCCGGTGGTTGGGGGGATGGCAGACTTTTTTTTGGCAGGTGCACGGTGACCTATGCGGCGCGTTTGCTGTCGTGTTCTGCCGCTCTCTCTCTCTCGTTTGCCCGGCCTTGTTCACTTGCTCGCGCAGTGCAGATTTTCCTTCACTAAATGCCCTACTTAATCTTTTATGTATGATCTTTTAATATTAATTATTTCTGTTATTATTACTATTCTCATTATGGCTTATAGATATTTATGTATTGTGTTTTTTATCCTTAACCTTTCCTCTGCTACACTCCTGTAGTCCGTCCACATTTACTAGAGTTTAGGTCAGAGCTGTGCGATTGTTTTGGTGTTTTCCCCCTCTTGTTGTTCCTCTCCTCTCCTGGAATGTTCAGTCAAGGCTGAGAGAGGATCTCTGTTCCCCAAAACATAGAAACCTTTACTGTGTAAAGGATTATGCATCCCTTTGCTCGGGGCCAGATGCCCGAGGCTGCCCTAGGCAGCAGGTCTCTGGACCAGCTGTATATGTGTTTTAGTACTTCTGTTTATTCTCTTTTTGTTAATAAATTCTTCAAAGACAACGGTTGGTTGTAACTCAATTATTTGCTTAATCCCTCACCAGGAATATAATTTCCACGACAAAGGTCAGGGTGTGTCTCTCGCTCAACACAATAAACTTTTTATAGCAAACAGGACAAAAAATCTTTCTCTCATTCTAATTGGACATCTGCCAGCCCATCCTTTCAGTACTATCAGAAGAACATAACATACTACAATTATGCTGACATAACTGTATAACAAGTACAATTTCATGACATTTTCAGGTTCTTTGTGGGGCCTCAGTATGTACACAAACACAAATGGACAACAGCATATGGCAGAGACAGATATTCTAAACTCAAACTGTTTCTTAATTTAAACAGAGAAGAGCACATGAAAGTTTTATGGTTATGAATAAATGATAAAACCAGGTTCATAACTTTATTTCACAACAATGTTAAAAGCCTATTCCAAAACTTGTTTAAAAGATTTAATTCAGAGTAGCAGTTTTTTCATGAATGTCTGTGGTGTCTGTAGGAGTTGGAAGCCATCCGTGATGCCCTGACTCCCCCCATTGGCATGTGCTGCTGCTAAGCTTGGAGACATAGAGGCCTTAGAAGCCCTGAAGGAAATGGTAAGCCACCCAACGATCTCTACCATACATATGTGCAGTTGCTAATCATTACCTGTTTTTGAATGTAATACACTGTCACACTCACCCCCTCGGATTATCATTGTTTGTTGCTGGAAAGATGTTGTATAAAGGAAATATTCTATGGGCTTATATTGATCATGTTTGTCATGTGGGGTCTGCGCACACAAGTGAACCTTTCACTCTGATGGTTCACCAGCATTTCCAGGGTCAATCTTCCAGTATTCAAAACCAAACAAAACATGAGGCCAGACTGGTAAGGCAGGTCTGGAGTTGCCTCAGCGGTCACTTGTACATGTTTGTATCTGGCTTGACTTGTGTGCAGTTGCTGCTTGGACTACCCTCCAGTTTCTAAGGACACATTGAAAGTACTATCTTGACAATCCTTACACTCAGATAAAAGCTTGGCAATTAAATTGGGCTCAGTGGTTGTTTAATACATTTTTCCTGACCCTTTTATTAAGTCTTTTCCAGTTTAATTTTCATTTATCCCCGTACTTCTCATTTCTTTGGCTTTTGCCTCTGGTCTACAAGTTCTGGCGAACAGTAATAAATAAGGCTGCAGAAAGTACACTGTTTATTAAAGGATAAGGCTAGTGATACTCAATATTTCTGTTATTGTCAACACATTCCATAAAAAAATGCAAGTCCGTCTCACAGTGCTTCCCTACACTAGTGAGTATTTCTAACAGCAGGGAGATGTATGTGGGAAGGATGAATTGTGAACTAGAGTGCTCAGGCTCATTGTAATGGAGAAACATGTTGCCCAGTGCAACTTTGAAAAATAATGGAGGTCAATGTCACAGAGGGAAAAGTTATATCGGGCTCTGGCCTCACAGATAATACTTCAATCAATTCAGTGTTGAAATTCAAATTCATCCTCAGGACTGCACAAATGAAAAGAATTTATTTCTGTCTATCATCTTATAATTTTTGTATATAGTTTTTGTAGCATAAAGGGAGCAACAAACTAACAACCCTGTTGTAATATGATGAATAAATTTACCTTGTTTTATGGAGCTTTTCATTTTAGCATTGTTTTTAGCTCATATTGTTTTGTTTCATAAACTTCACTCTCGTCGATACTTTACTCTTTAGTTTTTTCTCTGGATTCTGGAGGCCAAACTTTTTTAAAGATAAAGAACTCACATTGCATCAACCCTCCCCCCATACATTTGACCAATTTTAAAATATAGGGCCTAATAGTATTGATAACTAATTCATAATTCATGCATTCAATGGTGCAAATTTTATTTGGCAGATTAGATGCATCTACGACATATTGCTGCCCTCCATTCTTTGCTGTTCACATCTTTGTCAATGTCAACTGTCTACATTATCTTATATAGTCCAGTATTATGTAGATATTCCATCAATTTCTACATTTTGTTCCAGCTATATGTAGATTAAAGGCAGTTGCTCCAAAATCCTCCTTTGACGAGAGTAACCTAGTTTTTGCAATGGACTAGTACATGCTTTGCTGTTTCTTTGTCTCCACATTAACAATTTCCATCAGGATGTTTACCTATCAAAGCCAGCCCACTCCTCAGCCCATAGTGCCCAAACCTCAATCTGCATATAGCTAATGCATCTCTTCTCTTGCATTTAAAAGTACATTTTTCTTTCTCTACGATTCTGTACTGAAAAACTTGACTTTCATTAACCATGAATTTGGCCACATTTCTTTAGCTAACCTATTTATTTTTTCTGTGTAATCTAGTGACCCATCTGCCTCCTCAATCCCCTCCACACTATGCATGAACTCGAAACCCCACCTCGTGAATTCTACACAATATTATATTTCCACAAGTAAATCAGCAGGGGATATTTGCTGTGACACTGTCCATAAAGTCTGCTGCACTTGAGGCCACACCCAGATCACTAACGTCAGACTGGATAGTATCCATCTGCAGTCCAAGAACACATTTATGAAGGGCATCCTCAATGAGGAGGAGTCAAGTACTGAAGGTGACGTTAAACTCTAATTAAAACTACGATTCTGTTCTCCGTGTACTGCATCACGTGGTTACAATGGCGGCTGCTTTTCTGTATATAAGACTGGGGAAACGGTTCTGTGTTTCAGGGAGCGTATAACGTTAGCACTTGAAGACAACCGTGTTTTAAACACGGTTTTAAGAGAGCCCCGCCTCAGCGGTACTTCATCATGGCGGACTCCAGCGTCAACAGCCTGACATCCCTTGCCCGTGCGTTGTCACAATCAAAACTGGATCAGATAGAAAGTAATGATGTCAGCCCTCCGCGAAGTATTCAGCTTCATCCGTGCCGAAGGAGAAAGTTGACGAGCTGCGCCTCAATTGAGTCCCTTGAGCAGGCGACTTCACCTTCCGCCATCGAGGCGCGAGTCCTGGTTATTAACACCGGAGGAACCATCGGGATGACCCTTCACGACAACGGTAGCTATGGCTAACTGGCAATTGTTTTTCCTGTCCGGTCCCCTGGGGCAGCTGCAGCGTGGCAGCTCGCCAGCAGAATTAACGATAGGTAGCTTGATTTAGAAATGTTAGCGCACGTTGCTTTAATGTTACTGTGCGCATGAGGCATGGCGTGAGCCCCACGTGACAACAACATACACGTGCATCCTAAAATAGTCCTGCACACAGCCACAGCTAGCTTATATTCGTTTGCAAGCTAAATGAAACGTTGTTTGGTGTAACTTACACATCAGCTGACTCTCCTTGACACCTGAAGCCAAATGTTAAACGGACCGTCATGTCAGTGATAAGCAGAACCAGAACATTTATCTTTTTTAATAAGAAACCCACACTGGAGACAACCAGCTGAAATTAATTTAAGTTTGATGAATTTTGGTGAATTTCTGAGGGAGGCAATGCTAAAGGCACTACTGTTCTGCTGCCCCCGCATAATGCAAGTTAGTTGGAGCAACATCAGAGGTTCTCTCTCAATGAATAACTAGATGTTGACATGGCATTGGGGAACTGGAGCATGTACAGTCAAAATAACATTCAAAGGTCCTACCAGCTAGTACAAGTACAAGCTAGGACAAAATATTTCTACCAATGTTTCACTTCCTGTATTAAAATATATTTTATGTACTTTGTAGCATGAATCAGTAATAATAAAAACATTTATTTATAGAGCACTTAACAAAACAAAGTGCTGGCAGGGACAAGGATTAAATCAAATACCACAATAAATGATAAAATAATTATAATGACATGAAAATAAAAACAATAATATATATGCAGAAGAAGGAAGAGCTAAAACTAGAAAGTAAGACATTAAAATGAATAGGTGGCTCAGATAAAAATTGGGATATGCTTTTTGATAAATGATACTTAAAAGAAGACAACGACTCTGACAGCCTAATTTTGTTGGGCAGGTCATTCAGAGCCTCGGGGGCCCTGACAGCAAAAGCTCTGGACTCGGGGAGAGACAGGAAACCCATGCCTGAAGATTTCTTAAGGCTCATAAGAAATTAAAAGATCCAAAATATAATCTGTAGCCAGGTCATGGAGAGCCTTAAAAGTAATCAATAACATCTTAAAATCAATCCTAAAACAGGCCAGAAGCCAATGATAAGAGGCTAAAACAGGTATGATGTTATCATACCTCTTGGTTCTGCTTAGAAACTCTCCCCATAAAGCAGCGTTACTTTGACAATGCTATATAATAAAATGTATAAATAGCTTGTCACTAAATTGGATTAAATGGGGCTAATTCACACTTTACACTGCGTGAATGTGGATATGTAGGTCCATTAGCCTATCTGCACACATGGTGTCTCACATTTGTGATGTTTAAAGACTGAGATCATCCATTTTCTTTCCAGGGATGATCGTGTCAGTCAGTCAGTCAGTCCTTCAGTCTTCCAGTTTAACACCTCAGAGTGAAATATCTTGAACAGCGGAACCTGGAATTTTTAAAATACATGACCAAACCTATTCTAAGTCCCAGTTACAGAAACATGCCTTGAGTCTACTTTGGACCTGTTTACTTTGTGTGCTCTAGGGTTATGATTGCACAGCCATTCCTCCCTTTATTGTTACTCTTATTAAAGTCCTCCTATCTTTCTGTCAACTGTTGACTTCTTCAGAGCTGATGGTCATGTGGCTGTCGTCCGCCACGTGTCGTCTCTCATTTAAATTGTTGTGAAGTATTTTTGCTGCTGTTCATTTAGAGTGCACAGAGCCACAGCTCCTCTAAAGCAGTGGTTCTCAAACTTTTTCACATCAAGGACCCCTAAGCTGACACAAATTACACCACAGAACCCTATTTAAAGGGAGTTTTGCTGTTAAATGAAACCAATGACCAAAATAGTCATACATTCTGTCGTTGTTACCGTGTGGATTGAATTATAGTAGTATAGTAAGTAAACGATTCCTCTTTTTGCTGTAGACCCCATGGAACACCCTCAAAGACCCTGGGGGCCCCCAGACCCATTTTAAGAACCACTGCTCTACAGCAGCATTGGTGCTGTGCCCTGCATATTCAGTTATGCACTTTTTATAATAGATTTTAGAAATGTACCTATTTCAATAGACTAAAAACTATGAATTCAGTGCCATTTATGTTATAAATCATATTATAAATGGATTTTTCAGCCTGTGCAACAATTACATTACTTACATTCACCACAAGGGTTCAGTATGGGCCTATCGTATGGTGTTGGAAAACCCCAATACAATTCAGTCAACTGTCAACCCACAGAGAGCAAGCTATGAAATATTTCAATAATTTGTTTTTTTTCTATTTTGGAAACCATCAGTGCTTGCCCCAAAAGCCAATGCTTTCGGGAAGAGCTTGTGCAAGTTGCCTATCCTACACGATGAGACGTATGCCCAGCTCACCAGCCTGTATGACTACTATTCATCTGAGAACACCTTGGTCCTGCCGTAAGTGCACCCAGAATTCCTCCTTGCTCAGTGAACACATAGCTATAACTTTATTCAGAAGAATTTAAATAACCTACACACTCATCAACACTCAACACACATGCTCTTGTCCACAGAGTGTAAGGATTCAAGCACTTTACTAAATGTGCAATATTTGCAGTCTTATAGATGCTTTAAAAACCTTTTTGTTTACACTTAAAATCAACCGTATTTACCAGTTTTACATCCATCTTGATATTTAAAGTAAAATGTAATTTTCTGGTACTTAATTATCATGTGAGCATCATGTAAGGTCAGTGGTAGCAATGTACAGTAACAACAAAGGTGATTGTCATTTGCAAATTTAAGATGTTCACTTATATAAATTTTAAGATTTCCATGCAGTGTATTCTTCATTTTCCATATACTTGTATTATTGCATAATAAAGCCTAACATAATAAAAAGTCCATCACCCGAACACCTAAGGAAGCCCGTCAATTCCATTTAACCTAAAGACGACACATCTTCAAAGTGAGAAAATTCTTCTAATGTAAAGTTATTGTTCTGAATCACATAGTTTCCATTGTGAGAGGATTATAATAAAATATATGCTTGTCAGATCTTTTTGCAAGGTAGGTTAGATGTACACTGCACCTTTATAATCATGTAATTTAATCATTATATTAGAATACAGTTGGTGGTATAGGCTTCATACAGGGCAAGCTACATTTCATATCAGAAAAAGCAGAGACTAAATGGAAACCACTCACTCAGAATAGTAACAGAATAGTAATGGTGTTCATGACAAACTCCTTTTGTTGCAGGAAGCCAACGGCCCATTCTGACCATCTATTTCACGGGTGCTGTAGTACTGGTAGCATTGTTTGTGTCTGCACTGCGCTTGGACTGGTTTGATGTCTCTGCTGTCCGTAAGACTGAATGTTAGGGCATGCTTGCCTGGCAGGAAATGCATGCCGACATGGCCTTTGGCAATACGAGAAAAAAGCACCAGAAAGTCTGCTGAGTGGCAGGGTGGAGCGGGATGTATGGTTTAGATAAGGGATCCGTACATCAGATGGTGAATAGGCGGTTTTTGAAAGCCTTTAGGTTGAGGGTATGTGAGCAGTTTGGCATCTGTTTGTTAGGCTGTTCAGTTTTACTGTCTTCAACCTCGCACATTTAGCAACTACACTAGAGCTCCCTGTTAGTTAAATAGCTGCTTGGTAAATGTCTTAAATATTAGCAATGAGTTTGTTTTGACTAATATTAAACATCTGTTAACATAATATTAAAATTTTGTTTTAACATGAATATGTGAGCATGTTCTTTTTTCAATTTCCTTTTTTTAATGTGTTCAGCACAATTTACGTTTTAATATTTGCTCATCCTTGAGTCGGCATAGTGTTAATTTCAACTGAAAGAGGCTCATATGCAAGTCTAATGAGCATACGGTTGATGATATGCTCAGCCTGTGTTGAAGTAGGGAATTAGTTTATTGATTTATTGAAAAGCTTTATTCATGTGATGTTGAGAGGCAGCGCCACAAGGCCGTTGCCCCCCAATTCCAGCCCTTCTCTTCTTCACATCTTGAGTCCTCAATCATGCACACATGTATACATATATACACAGAGACATTTATTATTCTTAAGCTATCTTAGCATGGGTATGCTAATGTGGACCTTTCTACACCTTAGGGTACACTGCCAGATAGATGAATAATTGGTGATTTGAATAGTGTTTTCTTGTGGCACTTTGGCCTCAAGATTATCACTAACATATGTTCTAGGGTCGTGTGTGGACTTAAGGCTAATTAGAAGAGTGTCTGTAGGACCCCTGGTTGGGTGGACTGGGGCTTGCTTGCTGGATCTTCTCCCTGCTGTTCCATTCAGCTCCTATCTCTGTGTTATAAGGCAGCCCTATGGAAATGTGGGGGGGTGTCCCACTCTGTTTCTTTAAAGGGAAGATTAAAAAAAAAAAAAACCTTTCCATGGCTGTTAAGCCAGTCACGCTGCCTTATGCGGGGCGTCGCAGGTGGGACGCCTGCGTTAAACTCCACTTCAAGGCGACATAAATATGTATACATACAGGCTTTGCTACACCCTTGTAATTGGAATGAAAAAGAAACACAGACTTTTGCTGTAACCTGGAATGACTCACCAAATTAACCCTCAAGATATATCAAATCACCCTCCTTATGTCGCTCAACTTTGCCTGTATTTACATTACACAGTGGTAAAGCTCCACAGAACATTTACTGTGGAAAGGAAAAATGGCTCATTTTAAAGTGCTGCTCTCTAACCGTATGCCTACCATGCCCCTCCCTTTTACGCTTCCAGAATATTCTGTGTCTGAAACAGGTTTTGGCATCCTGCTGCCAAGACAGAAGGCCCAGCGAAATAGACTTTGTCTCGCTTCATAAAGTCAGCTTGGTTTTTAGCATTTCCCCCTATCCTTCCTTAAACTCACTTTTCATATTTAACCAGGACTTGATCCAACTTTGTTAAATGAGCAAAATGAAGACTAACAATCATTTGTCATAGCGAAGCTAATGAAACCAGTGATTCATTTTGGGTTGTTTGTCCTGTTTTGGTTTTTGTATGTATGATAATTACGTGTGTGTGTGTGTGTGTATAATGACAGACTCATAGGAACTTCTCTCTGTCCCCAGGCTGAGTAAAGACAATAAGAGGATAATCTACACAATATTAGAGTACAGCCCTTTGCTAGACTCCTCCAATATGACCACAGACGACTGGGGTAGAATTGGAATGGACATTGAGGTACTTGCTTCTGGATCCATTTCAGTGTTAGGGTGTTGATGACCCCATTCCTCAATAAACATCACATGATTTATGCTTTTAAAAGCAATGATATAATATTCCCATTGCTCATAAATTACAATGCATAATATTACATTATAGTTGTATTTATGTTGCCATCTAAAATGATCCATATCATGTGGCCTTTTTTCTTGTCTGACTCCAGAAAAACTACGAAGACTTTGATGGTTTTGTGATCCTTCATGGCACAGACACTATGGCTTACACAGCCTCTGCCCTGTCCTTCATGTGTGAACATTTGGGCAAACCAATCATTCTCACCGGCTCGCAGGTAGGAGCTGCTGTCCTCTAGCAAACAAAAAGACAAAATGTGTGTGCAGCATTTTAAAGTATTAACTGCCATTTCAAGATAAGACATTAGATAAGATGTTCTGTCTTCAGGTGCCTATCTATGAGATGAGGAATGATGGCAGAGACAACCTGCTGGGAGCGCTGCTGATTGCTGGCCAGTTTGTCATTCCTGAGGTGAGGAAATGGAGATTGGACATAAATGCTACTCACCCACATGATATTAGATAATCAGAGAAATTTTGTAGCCTCAAATAACTAAAGTCAATCATCGCTCTATTTGTGAATGTGAGAGAACCAAGGAATTATGAGACTCTCCAAATGATCAGAGTAGTGGCTTTCTTTTGTGAGCTTTGTTTTATTACGTCAGTGCTTTTGTCCTCAAGGGGAAACTTGTCACACATGAAACATTATTATTTTATTATAAAACACATAGCATTACCTCAAGTGACTACATGAAATCTATAGTATATTTAGCCATCACCAAAAACATCATCAGCTCCCAGTAGTTAAATGGGGAAACAAATAATCACCAGAGTCATCATTATGAAGATGTTATATGTGGTGTTAATAAATGATCAAATTAATTGTAAACTACTTCATGAAAATGAGTAACCCTATAATGTTATAAACCTGTATATTTGTTCATGTGTGGAGTAAACACGCCGTTATCTGAAAAAACAGGTGTCAACACTGTTTAACAAAAGCTCTCCTGAACGACTTGTCTGATGAGAATGCTTTCTAACGACAATGTTTCGCAATACTGAACAACACCAGAACAGGAAGAACACTGAAAAGCGCTGTCTACGTCTGTCTATGTTGACATAGGTATATGTTGTCAGACAGACATTTAGTAATGAGTTCAGATAAAGCGATTCCATCTTTAGATATTTTATATGTTAAGTTCTGCGCTGTCAAAGGGATTTTGTTTCAGTAGAAGAGCAACTGCATTAAATAAATCTTTGTGTCCATTCAGGTGTGTCTGTATTTCTACAACAAACTCTACAGAGGGAACCGTGTGACCAAGGTGGATGCTGGGAGTTTTAACGCATTCTCCTCTCCTAACTTGGCTCCTCTGGCCACTGCTGAAGTGGATATTACAAGTAAGCCAGTAGTGTAATCTGTCACTTTTCTTCAAATGTCCAGAAGAGTCTTTTAAAATGTCTGTTTTCTCCATATTTTCCTTTAGTCAACTGGGATACAGTGTGGAGGGCAAACACCACAGCAAAGTTTCAAGTCAGCACTGAGCTGAACAGGAACGTAGGCCTGCTCAGGCTGTTCCCAGGAATCACTGCTGCTACTGTAAGTCGCTCAGCCCCCGAGCAGAGCCTCTGTCTTTGTCATAGTCACCTAATGTCCAGAGGTCCTTCCTCTTTGGTTGATGTTACATACAACAGAATAATTAATAGGTGGGTTTTTTTGTTTTTGGAAAATAATTTAGCAGCTCATTATTTCGGTAATGACAGAAGAAAAATCTCAATCAAATCACCATTTGCCTTCAAAACAGCATCAATTCTTCTGCAGGTAGGTTGGCCCAAACATCCTGGGGAACTACCCATAGTTCTTCTGTTGATTTAGGCACCTCTCTCTTCATGAATTCCCAAACGGACTTGATGGTGTTGAGATCAGGCCTCTGTGGGGGCCATACCATCACTTCCAGGGCTCCTTGTTCTTCTTTACTCTGAAGATAGACTTTTGCTGTATGTTTGGGTTGTTGTCATGCTGCAGAAATAAGTTTGGGCCAATCAGATGCCTTCCTGATGCTATTTCATGATTGAATAAGCATCTGCCTGTACAGCATTGAAGATACCGTTAATTCTAACCAAATCCCCAACTCTGGTTGCAGAAATGCAGCCCCAAACTTGCAAGGAACCTCCACCACCATGCTTCACTGGTGCCTGCAGACACTCATTCTTGTACCGCTGTCTAGCCCTTATGCAGCCAAATATTTAAAATTTGAAGTTATATTTAGTCAATGCATTTCTCACTGCATTGGACAGCATACATTAGACTGCTTTCCTTGTGTTTGGGTGTGCGGTCTTTAGGGTGAAGCAGGCTCCTGTCCTCTTTTAATGTGTACGGCACAGTCCAAGAAGGCCAAATTGTTGTTGCTGATATCCTCTCATGTGAACTTGATGTTACTGTCCACAGAGGTGATACTGTATGTTCTGTGAGGGCTTGCACTTCCTTGGTTTTAATTTCAACCTATGTGTTGTCCACATATCTGTACCCATGACTCTGTGCTGTTTCTCTAAAGGAGTTCAGGGCTCTGCTTTCATTGCACAGCCATGCTTCTGTATGTAGAATCCCCCGTTGTAGTGGAAATGGGTGGTGTTCAGACAGAGGTCCAGCAGTCTGGCCTGAGTGTTCAAGGTGTTGTCTTGTAGCAATCATGTCCTTTTCTGCCGCCTCCATGGTAGGGATACATGTGCACATGGAGGTCACATCATCTGGGTCCAGTTTCAGTCCAAGATTATTCCAGCTTCCATTCACAAAAATTTAGGCTGTCTCGGGTTAAACCGCTATCCTTGTTACGAGCACCACATCGCTCGTTACAACAGCCAAGCTAACGAACCAAGCAGTAGCCATCACCTTGATAATGACCTCACAGAGGTGAAATGGCTGAGATTCCCTAGCAGTCAGTCAGTCAGAACTGAAGAAACCCCTCGGATAAGACGCAAAATGTCTTCAGGTATCTTCAACAAAGTCTACTTGCCCTTGATTTTAACCTTCTTTGGATAACTATGACCTAGACGCCTGCAAATCTTCACAGACCTCCTATGCTGCTGTTTCAGTTAATGATTGTGTTTCAACCTAAATATTGAATTGGTGATCATGAGCACCTAGGGCTGGGCAATAAAACTGATAATTATCACAATATATTTTTCCTCAGTAACAACATAATAAATGTTTTGATGTAATTCATTTAAATCGCAAACAAATTAGAACTTTTAGAAATGTTTCTATTAAGATATTTATTTTGTTGAGGTAAGGGACTGAATTCGGATTTTACTTAATTTTACTCATGCATATTTGTTGAAAAAAGATTTTATCCTAATTGTTTGGAATGTTCTACCTTTAGATTTGTTAAGTGATCCACTGTTTGGCATCAAGTGTTTGTTACATGTTCTGACTATAAAGAATAGTTTAAAACCACAATTAACCATCTGTTTTTTCACATTTCACTCAGGAGCACAAATCAGCCTTTAAACTGAAAAGAAATAATGATTTGACATTATTGTGATAATTATCGTCATCGAATGATATGAATTTATTTTAGCATGATAACATTTTTGACCATATCGCCCTGCTCTACATACACCTGATGATATGCATAATCCCTGACTTTGTGCAAGTGTACCTAGAGGAACTGATGCTGTTTTGAGGGCAAAGACTGGTCACAACGAATATTGCTTTTGATTTAGATTTTTTTTCTGTTTACTCAAATTGTACTTTAACTGATAAATGTAATATATATGCACATGTCTAGTTTTGAAACAACTCCTGTACAGTGCTGTGTTCGCATAAACATAAGGTTCATTTTATCTGACAAGTATAATCTGATGTCATTCCATTATTTATGGGTAATTATACAGATTCAACACTAAATTATATTTAGTCAAATGATGAAAAATGTAACCCACATGGTGCAAATCTTTAAGTCAAGAATGTTTCCCAGGTGTGTGTTCTCAGTGGATTAATATGTAATTAAATATATGTTCTTCAAAGGTAACTGACTCCTCAAAACTGTTTTGTCTAACTGCAATAAAATATAGTTAACTTTAATTTAATTGTGCTGTTACCCATCTTCTATTACCTTCCCGGTCATGTAAACTGCCATCAAAGCTCAGCCCAGAGAAGATGAAAAAGTGTTATGGGCCATGACCAATCACCCTGTAAAGAGGCAGGATTGGCATAGATACTGTAACATTTAGCTGCACCTCCCCCTGCAGAGGCAGCTGGGAGAGTGACTTTACTGTCTCAATCTGCTCCCACTGCCCAGCTCGGCTATCAAGACTTCCTTACAGCGTTTAACTGCCTTTATGAGGCACCACTTTGATTAGGCACCAGGCCCTCGTGTGCCCACTGCCTCTGCTGTATGATAGCTACACTGGTAATCTGCTTCAAACATTTCTTGTCAAACTGCTTATTACATCAGAAAAATAGCGCCGGAACTTGGCACTTCTAATGTCACCTTCTTCTCACATTTCATGGAAACTGACCTTGGTCTTGCCAAGTGACTTTATGCTTGCTAACACCTTCGGATTAATTGCCCTCCTTCCTGCCATTTCAGTCATCTGCCATTCTAATCATATGCCATGGCTAATGGTGTGGTATAGGGCCCCACTGGTGCCAGCCAACCAGTGACTGAGATAGTGGTTGCATAGATGGCACCAGATGGGCTTTTAGTAGAGTGGATGGACTCATGCATTGGAGTAAAAGATGCTGCAGGAAAAATGACATGGAATACTAATTCCTCAGTTTGATTAAACACAGTTGAGCAGCCTGTTGGCCATACATTTTGGGAGTTTGTAATGTGAGTCCTTGGTATATCTGTGTCCAGGTGAGGGCTTTCCTCCAGCCGCCCATGCAGGGTGTGGTCCTGGAGACCTACGGCAGTGGAAATGCCCCTGATAACCGTCCTGACCTGTTAGAGGAGCTGAAGAAGGCCACTGACTCTGGGGTCATCATCATCAACTGCACCCAGTGTCTGAGGGGGACTGTGTCTGCATCTTACGCCACCGGCAAAGTACATCCAATCGTGACCCACTTTTACTACATTTTGACATTTTTGACTTTTGAGAATCAATCAAATCACCCACTCCCTATGACTTCTCAGGTGTTAATGGATGCAGGGCTGATAGCTGGTGGAGACATGACTCCAGAGGCTGCCCTATCAAAGCTGTCTTACGTATTGGCCAAGAAAGAGCTTGATCTAGCTGCCAAGAAAAAGGTTTTGTGTCTATGTTCAGAAGTGAGATAAACACTTTCTTTTATTCTCCATAGAGAGGCTTTTTAGAGTAACAGGACATCAATAGAGATGATGATGATGATGCCTGATAATAAC